AGTCTTAACACATCAAACCACCATCTACTCACAAACACTTTCCCCTTAACTCTGAAGATAACTTTCACTCAGGTTGTCACTGAACATCAATTACCAACAACAATTCTTTTCAGAACTACATGTACTCTCACCCAGAAGATCACACTTTATGAACTGCCAATACTCGTGGGTTCAAACCATTTACTAAGAAGGTTGAACCAGGCTTTTAGCCAGATGGGTGTCCAGGCATCCAGTGGACGCCCACTTTTTAAAGAAAATTGTTTTGCCTGGAAACCAGCACATTTTGAATTTCAGAGTTATGGTGGCGCGTGAGATAAAACTATGATAGCATTTGTCCAGAAATATACACTTATCTAGTAATTTTTAGCCTTTTTAGGAGTTAAAGTATTAGGAAATGTGATTATTTAAATGTTTGCTTGTTCAGTTCACATAGTCAGTCTCCAAGATAGCCAAAGTAAGTTCCAATATTATTTACATCACATTCCTGCCACCATGTTGGTGTACAATGGAGGTACACCAACATGGCGGCTCCATACTGGGCTCTGTACATTTGCACAAAATATTTTGATGAATATCTGAAGTTTGGGAAAACACACAAACCTAAACCTTGGAGAAGTGTCATCTTTTTATATATCTTCTATAACATCACAATTTCTTGACTTTATCCAATGAATGGTTTTTGATTTATTTTTTTATTGCGTGAAAGTGAAGACGAAGAATTAAAAAGTGAAAGAAAATAAGTAAAGGAAAAACTTTTACGACAGGTGATGAAAGTAAGAAATAATTAACACTCACATCAAAGTCTGGCATAGCAGGCTCCTCATAATCGTCCCAGTTCCTCTGAGGAATCACTCCTACAGGTACGTCGTGTACCACACTTCTTGTGTGACTGGTAAGGGATGGCTGAAATACCAGAATCCCATCAACATTTAAAATACGTACTATGGACTCTCAAAGCTGCAGTTGCTGATTTTCTCTTTAGCTGTATCCATTACTCAACTAAACCTTTTTTGAAACAATTATAGGCTATGAACCTCCCCCCCCCCCCCCCCCCCCCTCCAACCCTTCCTCTGCTCTTACAATGTGAGTATGTCACAAATATATTTTCACCCCTGAGAGGTAACAACAGGCTACTTTTAAGATATTAAAATTCAGTTTGATAGTGAGGCCAAGAGGACACAAACAAAAGAAATGAATAAACATTGTCATTCAATTCCCTTTGTTTGTGTCCTCTAGTCCTCACTGCCAAGCTGAATTTTAACATAGTAATATCAAAATTAGACTATTCAAAAACAAAACTAACAAATCTAGTTTTTTCCAGCTTATTTCCCTAAATTTAACATATCACTGACAATAACTTTTAAACCATTGAAATCTGGAGATTTTTGGCAAAATTGCAGTTTTTAGGCATCTGTTTAGACATTTTCTGGTCATTTATGACCTAAATTAACTCCACTACTCAAAAAAGCATTCGCAACATGAAAGCATCATGCCTTTCTTTCCACTAGCTTGGCGTTTTATGGCAATATTTAGCACTTACCAGGGTAACTTCAAATGTTAAACATGGAGTGTGTTTTTTTGTCAGTTTTATTTTCACAGCTTGTGCACTGCCTGCTGATTTCATGGCTCGTGCCAAATTCTCTGGCACCAGCTCAAGGTAAATATTGTTGGTTTCATCTTTTCCTTCAATACGATACTCATCAAAGAAGTTGCTCTGAAAAAAGAAAAAAATTTTGTAATGAAGTTTCTTCAATAAGTATTTGATGATAAAAACTAGCAGTAAGTATCACTCTGCAGTCACATTTCCAAGTTAAAAAGAAAGCAACTGAAATTAGTTTGGAGAGGTTCTTTTTATTTAAAATTGACCTTAGAGGGTTTGAAATGTCGTTCCTTTTTATCACTAGTTTTTATCACCAAAAAAGCAAAAATTGTGACATATAATATGTGACACAGGCAATTGTTGCACATTTGCTGAAATTTGTTTGACTAATAAGTTATTGCTCTTAACACAAATTAACCTAGGTTGAACTGAAATCATTCTGACCTAAAGAACAAAGTGACCTACAACACATACGTCGGCTGACTAGTTTCTGGACATGAACTTTCTGTGAAATAAGTGCCTTCCAAACAATTTTTAGTTGTTCCCTACAAAATAACCTTAAACAGATCTAGAATCAACCAAACTTTTACTTTCATGTCGAGTCTTACCACTAAATTTAAAGTGAATGAAAAGATGAGGAACTGCAGTCTGGCATGGGTATAACATACAATATTTTGAAAGAATATTTTTTATTTCTACACGTATACCATGAAACATTTTAGACAGACCTGTGTTAATTCACACCAAATTGACACTCCCCCAACAGTGGCATTGTCAGCCAGAATAAAATAAAGTTTTGTTGGTGTCATTCGCAGAGCACAAGTCTTAGCCATTCGGGATATGGTTCCTAAGACCCCTAGTGGTGAAGAAATACAAAACATGGTAAGAATTCCAGCTATCTAAATAATAAAATTATGGCTGTCTCTCGGTGTATTTGTTTCTGGCAAGATAATTTGTTCAGTTCTTATATATATTATCGTCAGTTGCACAACATTTCCCGATTCCAAATCTGATAGCCAGACCGTTAAGCCGATTAAGAAAATATCCCTGAAGAAACTGAGCAAAACCAGCGCTAAAAAGAAGACCTTCATCGTAAAGCTAAATAGAATCCACATGAGAAAAAGTAGAGTCCACTGTATTATTGATGTAACACCGAAAACAGGCTATAAAAACCCTTTAGTTACGAAAAAAATATTTAAAAAATCTAACTACTTACGTGTAAAATGTTGAATGCAGTTTATATCTATAATCTTCGCTCGAAAACGCATATTGTCGAGGTTGAGAAATTTCATACGGCAAACTCGCTCAAAACTACCGCCATTTTGAAAACTTCCCAGAGTGCCCCACTCAAATTCACGCTTGCGATTTGGGACGGGGCAGGGAAAAGGCCCTGGGAACGAGGTTGGCGTAATGAGAAATAACTTTAGGGAACCAAAGAATCCTTGTAAAACACAGAATGCGGATTGCGGACTGCATACTGCATACTGGTGAAATACCGACTGAGGGTTGACTGAGGGTGAAATGCAGACTGAATACAAAAACGTTGCGTGGCGACTAAAATCACGCTGCGAAGGAGACTAAGTTCTAGCGGGTCAGTTATAGTATTTACCTTCATTGTTTTAGCTAACATAGCTTTTTGAAATGATAAAGTAACCTTTAATACTATTATTTAAAGTTTAAAAAGATAAATATTAGAGTTTTAGCACTTCATCGTACTGAAATAATTAATCTTATGTTTAAATACAAAAATTAATATTTTTTATTGGCGTTGAGTCCTTGTGGCCTAATGGATAAGGCGTTGGCCTCCGGAGCCAAAGATTGTGGGTTCGAGTCCCATCAAGGACGTTACCCTGGCTTTTTTTTTTCCCGTTAGAAAATACTCTTTTTTTTTCTTCTTAACTTTTAATTTAAGTACAGGGCAATATCACAAAAGCTTTGGAAAAATAATAGATTTGACTACTACACATCAGACTTAACAGGTACACAGCGGACGTGCATGTACATATCAGCAAAAAAAAAACCAAGTAGATTTTTCAACTTTGTTTTAACTTATCTCGCCCAATCTTGTTTGAAGATTTCCTGTTCGTTCCTATTGTTTCTCTTCAGATTGATAATCAGCTAAGTATAAGTATGCTTCTACTCGAATAAATAAAGTCTCCATTTCGCGCGAACATTTGCTCGAACATTTAATATCCGAGAAGCTCACAGTTTTCCTGGAGTTAAAGCTCTAGGAAAACTGTGAGCTTCAAATATTTTTCGCAACACGCGCTGGATCTGAAAATTGGGGAATATCACTTGGATATTCCCCACTTTTAGCTGGGAAAATAATTGGGTTCCCGTGACCTAGAGGGCAGTGAATGTTACAAATAAATTTACTTACGGAACAAATCACCAAAACTTGTTTCAGTGCCCGGCTGTAACACAGGCTGGTTTCGAAATCAATTTCATACACATGACAATTTATCATAATTTGTTATTCTGCACTTTGCAAAAAAAGAAAAAAATGTAGACCAACAACTTCATTTTGCACCAACGATTTACACCATTTTCAAAAATGGTGGACAAAAAAATTAAAATAATCATGTAAATATTAAGCTCTTTCTTTTTAGTAGTGACAATGATTGGTCAAGATTTCACCCTCTTCTGTGTAACATGTGTAATAATGTTTGAAGCCTCACACACAAATAGCAAAGTTCTGGGAATGAATGTGAAATGACGTTAGGCTCCCAAACATGAGACTACAGTGTTTGTGGGCCATTTACCCTGTAGCTCGTCTTCCCAAACCACTCTTTGGATTGTTACGCCCCTGTCCACCAAATTAATGGTTGGAAGCAGACTGCAAACCAATCATGACCTTGTACATATTTAAAATAGTTATCTTTTATTAGCATTCTGGTTTCCTTGCATTTTTTAATTTCGTAATAAAATATTGAAATAGTAAAATTCAAATGTAACTATTAAGCAATGAGTTCAGGTGAAAAAGGTTGGGTGGTGTATCATAACTTTGTTGAAATCTTAGTCAGCAAGTTTTGAAACCTGGAAGTGACCCTGTTTACTTTTCAAATCAAGTCATCTTTCTTTATGCAAGATGGGCCTGACTAATATAACTCTGAGATGATTCTCGGTCATCTTTGAGCACAAAAATAATAAAGCTGAATGAAACACAACAGTCAACATGACCTGAACACATAGGACAAATTATTTATAATAAGAATAAAATGGATATCACATTTTGGACCAGGTTTGCTGTCATTAGTGCTTTTCAATAATGAAAAAAATATAAGACAAAAAATATACTGAAATAGAATTATTTGTGGTTCAAATCTGTTTTTGATTTTAAATGTATAAATTAGGTAATTTCCAATTTGAGTTGAAAGCAAAACTTTGCAAGTTTGGTTGGTCATTTCAATATTACCAGCTTAACTGTTACAGTTGTTTAACTAAACCACCTAGGAATAACATGATTGACCAAATATGATTGTGCAATTACAGCTCTATACAACAGAATTAAGCTGACAAGCTGTGTAACTTGTAACTTGACCCAACCCCCTCCCCCCTTTTGATTTCCCCTAGACCTGTCACTACGTCAGTGACCTCTACAAGGACAGTGCAACCTCTGGTTGCGACCACCTCTCATAAGCGACCACCTCTCCTCAGCGACCAGTTTTCCAAAATGGCAAAAGTTTCAAAGTCAAATAACTATATTTGGAACCTCTTGTAAACAACCACCTCTCATAAGCGATTGCACCACTTTTAGAGCTAAAAGTTTGAGATTTTCTTTTGTTTTTAACCTCCCATAAGTGACCACTTGAGAGATAATAAAGCAGAAATTGGATAATAAGGTGTCATAATCATGGATAGCACAAGAGACAGAAATTTCTCAACAGGAAGTACTGAATATTTTTCTCAAAATTGACTCCTCGTATGAATAAAACATTCAAAGGACCTCAGCAGTTACCATATGCTAATAAGACAAAATTTTGTCCCAATATGGTCTTAGCTCTCGTAAGCGACCATCTAAGCTTGACATTTTGGGTGGTAGCTTACGGGAGGTTCGACTGTAGTTAATGTTAGGACCACAATAATAAGCCTAGTTAACATTACGACACTGAACTTTCCCAACATAAAAGAACATAGAAACAACTTTCCAGGGCTTTCCCAGGACTCTAAAATTCACATTAACCCTTTCACTCCCAAGATTTCAATATTAATTCTCCTTACTGTCTGCCACATATTTCATATCTTTTACTTGAGTTTAACAGATTTCCAGAACTTTCCAAGACCAGTAACCCTTTTCCAGGACTTTGCAGTCCTGGAAAATGCTACAACAAAATTCCAGGACTTTCCAGGTTTTCCAGGACCCATACTAACCCTGTACATAAATACTTCTGTGAAACAGTAAATATATTCTAGGGTACACCTATACTAAATAATTTAAAGTCTTTTCAAGTGCCATTAAGTTTTCATCTTTAGAGCAATTTTCAGTTGAGTGTCGAAAGTAATTGGGCAATTACTTTGGTTTTGGTTTTGGGTTGTATGCAGACTTAACTTTTACCTACTGTTTCAGATTGGCTGGGTAGTCTAATTGGTGAGTGATTGGTTTTAAGACACTCAATTGAAAACTGCTCTAATGCATATTTAATTGTTGTTTATTTAAGTTGCTGATGAAAGGGTACTGATCTTTAATATATTAGAAATGGATCATATCAATGATGTTTGGTTCAAACTTTGTACCAATGTGCCGCGCGCCAGTGAATTTTACATGCCCAGTCTTTATCAGCTGCGCAAAACTGGAGCAACTGGACCCAAACATAAACCCACCACTGCCGACTGGAACACCACCCAGACCATTAAAAGCATTTGGACCACTCTGCACACAGCGACACTGTCTGAAATCTGCACCAGAGATGTCTGCATCTGTGAAATCTACCACCACATGGCTGGCAAACTCACAACCATAGAAACAAGTGTTTACCAAACAGCAGTCCACAAAAGAGACATTATGTGCAAAAGTAGTATGGGCAAATGAAAGACCAGAGAGGTTCTTCCCACTGAAATCAAGATTTCCTTTAGTCATGTTGTGGAAAACAAAGTCTGCATTTTTCATTCTGCAGCTTCTATTGCCAAGATCTGGACCTGAAGGTGTGCTGTTTGTGGTTGTCTGTCGAGTCAGTGTCGCTAGCATGTCATTGATTTCATTCTGGGTGAAGTCAGGTGCCGGAGGGGGAGGATCCAAGACATTTTCAACACCAGCTACCAAGTCACTGAGTTGGTAGTACTGAGCTTCGTTCACTATTTCTCTCAGCGACACTTCATCTTGGGGGAGCATATCGGCCCGAAAACCGTCACGGAGGTAGTTCAAAATGTGCCGGAAATGGGTGCCATCCCGGTCCACGAAATAACTCCCATCCGATTCCTGCACAAGTTTGTGTCTGCCAGAAAACATGGTGGCAAGCATGGAGTCCTTATCTCGCCTTAGTGTCTGAAGAGAGGTCGTGAAACGATGTCCTCCTATGTTGAGATGAACGGGTGACGATTGAAACTCGTAAACGTCTTGCATTCGTTTCTTTTCCTTCTCTATACGTAGTCTGGTCTCATCAAGGTCTTTGTACTGTTCTTGGATTGCCATTTCGTGGTCTTCTCGTCTAGTCTTCATCTCTTGTTCAAATGCTGTTCGATCCCTTTCCAGTTGCTCGCTCCATTTCGACAGTTCATTCTCCCGTTTTTCAAAGGACGCCAGTAGATCGTTTATTTTCCCGTGTACTTCGTGACTCCAAGCTTCCTTGTCTGACATGACGCTTGATTTAATCGCTGTTATCCCGCCAGTGGAAACGAAAATTCGGGGGACAAAAGCAAAAGAAATGTTTAGCTTTGTTCAATCGTTGGCACTGCAGGCTCAGGCAACCTCGTCCCCAGGGCCTTCTTCTATTCTCCCGTGCGCCATTTCGGAGAAGACCCTGGGGACGAGGCTGCATTGGAAAAGGAGTTCACTGGAACGAAGATAACGAAGATGTTTTCGGAAGGGAGGCCCGGTTGGCAGCAGTAAGATGAACAAATGGAGAATAAACAATTATTGGATGAGGTTTTTGTGATATCCAGAATAATCAAGGTCGAGGTAGGGGTTATATATAACAGCCGAAGCCGAAGGCTGAGCTCAGCCTTCGGCTTCGGCTGTGAGGCTTCGGCTGATAACCCTTACCGAGACCTTGATTATTCTGGATATCCCAAAAACCGATTCTAATAATTGCTTTATTATACACTGAATAAAAAAAAAATGGAAGTCATGTTTTTGCTTCTTCACTGACCGCAGGCATAAAAGCGGGAGAACTTTACATGATTACCCTTAGAAATCGTGCACCGCAGTCATACATGACATGATTACCCATGACCTTGAGTGTCCTTGACGTGATTATTCTACAATCTGCAGCTAGATGACGTCACAGTCGCCGATTTCGGAAATTCACTCTACGCTTTCGGCCAATCGGAAAAGAGATAGTGAGTTCAATGTATAATAATTTAGAGTAGTGGTAGTCAGGAGCTAACATTGTAAGATAATGGTTTGACACTGACTANTTTTTTTTTTTTTTTTTTTTTATGTTTCGTACAAGACGTTTCGGCTGGTGCTCGAGCCTTCATCAGAGCGAATCTTTTGTGTCATACCACTGATTTACGGTAGCTTTTCAATGTACCGCCCGTTTCTCATGGTCAAGCCGCTTTTCTTACCGGTGGAGCCTTGGCACGAGAAAAGTTCGTTTCCCGCCGGCTACGAGAAGCGAAAA